GCCCTGCCTTCCTATGGACAGAGGCTGTTCATCAAGCCGGTTTGTGGATAATGTGAGGCTGTCCTGTCACCTGTGACCGTCTGTGCGTGGGACAAGACCGGTAGAAATGCTAGTCCATGGCAAGAGGGAGTGGACAGGAGTTCTGCCAAGGTCTGGGCCAAGACGCTTCCAGAAAGCAGACAGGCAGGGAGCATGGCGATGCAGAGGACTGCAGGGCCTGGGTAGAAGGAACCTGTACTCATAGGCACCAGGACCCTTAGCGATATGTTACTAAAGGGAACTTTCTGCCTGCTGGCTGGGCTTGGCTGTGGTGAAACCAAAGAATAGGTAGCCCAGCAACCTGAGAAATCAGCCAGGTTCCCTGAGGAAGGGGGCAGCCCTGGGTGCAAGGACTGCAAGCTGGGTTCGATGATTCCCCAGCACCCCAGGGAGAATGGAGTGGCCAAAGGAGAGGCCACCCTAGGAGCATGTGGATCACTAAACCAGTCCTGAAACATGGGCACACAAACCTCTTTCACTTCACAGTGTCCTCTTTCTGCCAATCTGGAAGCCTTGCTCCAGACAGACATAGCGCCAAGCTCCAAGGGGATGGAGAATCACATTTCCTTTAAAAGATCCAGTCAGTCCATTTTGGCTACCTTCAGGTTTCCTTTCTAGGAATTAAACCGCCTGTTTTCCTTTAGTTTTTAAACTTCAGAGATTTCCCAAGTTATTTGTTAACCCATTCAGTTGAAATTTTTCTAAGTAGCAATTACCCTACATTGCATCAGTAATTAAGGAAGATGAAGAGATCTCTTTTGCAGAGCTAGGGGTCAAACTCATACATGTTAGGCAAGTGCTCTACCCTGAGCTAGACACCCTTGCTGCAAAGGTAGTACAAAGTTTAGTGCTATATGTATGCAATGTAGCCTGAAAAAGAAAAAAAATCAAGCAAGAGACCTGAAGATAAGTCTTGTCAAGAAGATATGGATAAGAATTCAATACTAGTGCACTTACAGACACTGCAAGAGGGAAGGCTTGGAGACATGTAGCAGCCATGGGACTAGCTGCAGGGGTCAGCAGGCCAGGTCTGGGTTGAAAGGGAACGGGCCTTAGAGAAGTCATCTGCATGTTGAGACAGGCGTTCCCAACAGAAGTCTCCTGAGAGGAGCAGGCAGCCTTGAATTTCAAGGAAAGCATCCCAGCATCCCAAAACAAAAGTATTAATCCCACCTCTCTGCAAAGACTAACAACTTTTAAATAGGTGAAAGCGCACAGAGCTCTCACAAAACTGCTAAGATAGTGAAATAAAGTCTGAACATAAAAAAAAAAAAAGGCGCTGGCAGGAAGGTAGGATTAGAAGGCTTGAGATAGTTACTGTTCTGCTGGCTTTTAGGAGTTATCAGTGCTCCTCCACTCTCCACAGAAGGCAGGATGTGTAAGTGACTCAAATAAGCCGGGGAGACCCTCAATGTCAGGGCAAAACCCAACTCCCTGTTACTCCCCCTGCTGTCCTGCTACATAGTTTCTTGCTGTTGCATCTGGGCTATAGCTCAACATCCACCCATTCATCTAGGCATCCATCCATGCATGCATGCAGACATCTACCCAGCTAGCTAATATAGCCATATTAGCTTCCTGAGTCATTTGAAAGTAAGCTATATGCACAATTGTCCCTTACCGTAGATACTTAAGTATCTATTTTCTAAGAACAAGATGTTTTCTTATATAACCACAGTTATGTATGTATATATACATGTATATATACATGTATATATACACACACACTGTTATATATGTATATGTATCTGTATATACATACATTGTATATATGTGCATACACACACACGCACACATATACACATATACAGTTAAGTCCCCAGACATTAGAGTTGTGAATTTTCACAGATACAAACAGATCTCACATTAGGAACATTCCTACATGGGGACAGATCATTGCAGAACATTTGAGTTGTGAACTTTCGCAGATCAAACTGCCCTTGCATTAGGAATATTCCTAGTAGCTCTTGTGTCTGCCAGACATTGTCACAGTTGTATTTCTGTGTACTTAAAAGGAAGAATAGTTTATTTACAGTATTTTGGGGATTTTTTTATGCTTTACATTGTACATTTGTGTCAAAGATGTATAAGACTCACTTTGTCAGACTTAGGAACAAGTTCCTTTCCAGGAGACTGTAAGTTGGATTCGAGATATACCGAAAGTATGTATATATCAGAAAAAGAAAAACTTGTATAAATATTTGAATACTAAATTTATTGAGACATCATGAGATTAATACAAGTAACCTTTGGCCTCTACAATTATAAGAGGTGCTTAAAGTCATGGCCATTAGCTTCCAGACATTAATTAGTACAGTGAACTGCTGACGTGTGTACATTTTTTTGCCAGTCTCTTTCTTTTTTTTGTTTTGTTTTGTTTTTTGTTTTGTGAGATAAAGTCTTGCTATGTAGTACAGTCCAGGCTGGCCTTGAATGTGTGGCTATCCTCCTGCCTCAGCCTCCTAAGAGCTTGGATTACAGCCATACGCCACTGTGTCCGCCTTCACAGTTCTATATGTTATACTTTTTTTTTTTTTTTTGAGACAAGGTCTTGCTATACAGTCCAGCCTGGCCTTGAACTCACTATGTAGCCCAGGCTGGCCTTAAACTCATTGTGATCCTCCTGCCTCAGCCTCCCCAGTGCTGGGATCATAGGCATGCACCACCACGCCCAGCCTGTATGTTATATACTTAAGAATTTCAATAAATTGAACATGCACTGGGTATGGTGGTGCATACCTGTAACCCAGGTATTCTTAGTGGCTGCGGCAGGAGGATCAATCCCAGCCTGGCAACTTAGTGACTTGGTAAGATCTTGTCCCAAAAAGGTCTGGGGATGTAGCATGTAACAGTGTGAAGGCCTTGAGTTCAACCCTTAGAACCACCAAAAAAAAAAAAAAAGGCAGCAGTACGTAATACTTTAATATACCATCCATATCCCATTTTTCTAATTGACCATGTAATGGCCTGTTATATCATTTCTTTTCCCTGTAGTACAAGATCCAGCGTAGGATCAGAAACTGCTCATACCTGTCATATCTCATTAGTCCTCATTAATCAGGGGCATTTCCTAGCTCTTTTGTTTATTGTGATGCTAATATTTTTGAAGAATAGAGCCATGCATCCCTTAAAAGAAGGAAAGCCTTTGGTTTGGGAAGTTTGTCTGTTTCTCATGATTAGATTCAGTTATATATTCCTGGCTAGAACACTCCACAAATGGTGAGGTGTCCCCAGTTTCACTTTGGAAGGTAAATGATGCCTTTTGGCACTGACTGGAGACATTGATCATTTGGTTAAAGTGTTTGATTTTCCCCTTGAATATTACCTTTTTTCCCCTCCTTGAAACTAATACATAATCTGTTGAGAAGCACTTTTAAGACCATGCAAATAAACAGAATTTACCACGCTTAGTAGTTCTTTTTCTGTTGTTTATTTATTTATGGGTTTTTTTGTTTTGATTTGTTTTGTTTTGTTTTGAAACAAGATCTCACTTTATAGTTCAGGCTGGCCTTGAACTCATTATGTAGCCCAGGCTAGCCTCGAACTCATAGCAATCCTCCTGCCTCAGCCTTCCAAGTCCTGGGAACCACCATGCTCGACTCCCTGTCTAGTATTTCTGCTTCCATTTCTTTTTTTTTTTTTTGGTACTGGGGATTGAGCTCGGGTCCTTGCACTTGCGCAGCCGGCGGCAAAACCACTGAGCTAAATCACCGGCCCTCTGCTTCCATTTCTGATTCTGCCTGTGCCACTCTTTGCTGTTGTGATGGGCTGCCCATGGTGAGTTAGTTTCTTCAGCCCTGGCCTGCCATGTATCACATGACATTCATATTCCGTGAGCTTGAGCCCACTCTTCTCTGTCAGTTATTTCTCTCTGTGTTAACAGTGCGGGTTCAGGGATTTCTATTTTTTCAATGATTTATAATTCACTGCTGTGTTTAATTATTTTTGGTGTTCAAATGTTCCAGATCTGGCCAGTGGGAAGCCCTTGAAGCTGGCCCTTATATCCTTGCGACATCCTAGGTCTCTTTCCTTTTTTTTTTTTTTTAAAAAAACCACTTCCTTACTTTCTGGCGTAACAAGATGTTCCAGGCTTGTTTTGTACTATGTGCTTTGTACTTGCTCTACTCCAGCCCTAACACAGCCATTTCTTTAAGAAGTCCTGATTCCTTTTTGTGGAGATGGTATAAAAGATAAAGATCTGAGCATTGGGTGCTTCCACACTCTGACACGAAAGATAATTGACAAAGAAGTAAAGCAGCATTTGGATGGGCTTAGTCTTCTGATTTATTTTTTGCTAAAGTATTAACTTCTTACATGAATTTATACTTTAAAATATGCATTGTATGTAATATTTAAGTATAAAATATATATTGCAACTATTTAAAAAACTTCAGAAAATATAAATTTGGAAAAAGAAAACAATTCCTAATACTACTTTTAAGGACTATTTTGAAAAAACTCCTGGCTTTTTTTGAGATGTAGTTTACACACAAAGACCTTGATCTTTTTCAACAACCCATAATGGGAGCCAGGTGCTGGCACACACTGTAAGTCTCAGGTACTCAGGAGCTTGAAGTGGTAAGATCCCGTAACCCCAAGAGTTCAAGACCAGCCTGGACAACATAGTGAGACCCCCATCTTGAAACCATGCACAGATATTTGTAGTTATTTCTAAATAGTTTCTTTTTCCAGAATTGGTATTGATTCTGTTCCTTTTGCACTTATGAATATAACTAACAAAAATGTCATACACCTACCGGTAATAGCTTTTCCACAACTCTCTGTTGTCTTCTACTCTAGAGGGCTAAGTAGTCTTAATCAACTTACTCTGAAATATAGTATCACCTGGCACCCTATCTGCCTGGTATTTCTCAATCTTTTATGGAATGAACTGCATGCTTGTTTTGTGTGATTAAAAAGCATTGTCATGAGGTGTTTTTTTTTTTTTTTTTTTATTCCAGGCTGGCCTGATGTATTGGCCTTTCGTGCAGGTGAGTTTCAGACTACACAGAATCTGGGGTTGGGGGTGCAGCTCAGTGGTAGAGCAGTTGCCTAGCATGTGTGAGCTCCTGGGTTTGATCTCCAGCACTGCCAAAGAAAACAGCCTTTCTCATAAGGCTATCTCATAGCTTTGACCACTGTCAGCCTCTAACAGACTCTCTGTGTTCCAGCTGACCAACTTCAGCCTCGTTCCTGTGCAGTGGAGGACAGCTTACACTGGACTCTGTGGTTTCCTCTGGGCCACCTTCCTTTGCTTTTCCCAACAGAATGGGGATGGTACATTGAAGTCAGCCTTCATTCTCCTTCGCAGAAAGGTAGCTGGAGCAGTTGAGGGACCTCCAGAGCAGTGAGAAATCAAGGAATCCTTTAACATGACCAAGTTTTTTTTCCCCTAAAGTGCACTGGATTGCCTGCAGAGAAAATACTTGATTTACCAGTTATGTGCTTCATTTTGAAGAATTACTATTCCCTACACCCACTTGTTTTTAAATTACTAATTATCATTATCATTGTTGTTGTTATTTTGTCTTTTAAAGGCAGGGTCTGGCCATGAAGTTCTTAAACTCACTAAGTAACCCAGGCTGGCCTTGAACTTGTGATACTCCTGCCTCTGCCTCCCGAGTGCTGGGATTATAGGCATTCACCACCATGCCCAGCCCAGTTATTATTTTAAATTTTAACCAAATATTTTCCCTTTAGTCTGAAAGTCTTACTTCTCATATAATTTCACTTCTCTGATACTTTGGTTAAAAATATCAATAGTGAGAAAGTGGCATTTTAGAATTATTAATAAATACTTATATTCAAATATTTCAATATGCCAATTGAGTTCAGGAAAACCCAGTTCTGATTGTTTACATCTCTGTTCTAAAATCTCAGGTTATCTCTTAAACAGTTTGGGATCAGAGTAGCTTTTATGTCAGAAATAGTCCTTATAGTTTTCTCCCTGTTTTGTCTTGTTTTATTTTGTTGTTGAGACAGGGTCTCACTAGTTCATGCTGGCCTTGAACTTGCAGCGATCCTCCTGCCTTGGAGAAATAGTCTTTATAGTAAAATTTCCATTTCCCTAAGATTTAACCAAGGACAAGATTGAATAAGATTTCCCCCCAAAATACTCTGCAATAATTTATTATTCTAACACTAAAATTCTGTAAGTACTTTTTTTAATCATCAAAAAAGAATGATGTATGATTGATGTGTTCTGTAGGAAATATTTTATCAATGTCTTCTACTTTTATAATATCAATATAGAGTACTTTTAATTAATTTTTAAAGTTTTGAGCATATTCATACAGAAGAAAATATTTGACTTCTTCATGACTCCACACACACATACACACACACACACACACATACACACACACAGTCTCTCTAAGTCACCCTGATTGGCCTCAAACTCCTGTTCTTTTTACCTCATCCTCCCCCAGTTTTGGGATTACAGGTGTGCCACCATGCCTGGCATCAATGGTATTAAATAAACGTTCTAAAAATAATAATTTGGAGTTGGGCATGGTGGTGCATGCCTGTAATCCCAGCACACTGGGAGGCTGAGGTAGGAGGAATCCAAGTCCAGCCTGGGCAACTTATTGAGACCTTTTCTGTGAGGCAGACAGGAGGATCACAAATTTGAGCCCAGTCTGGGCAACTGAATGACTTTGTGAGACCCTATCTCAAAATAAAAAATTTAAAACGGGCTGGACATGTAGGCCCTGGGTTAAATTCCCTGTACCAAAAAACAAACAAAACTAAACTAATAATTTGGGCTGAGGGTGTAGCTCAGTGGTAGAGCATTTGCCTACCATGCACAAGGCCCTGAGTTGAATCCTCAGCACTGAAAAAAAGAAAAACAGGAAGAAATTTTCTCCCTCTGGGAAAAAAAACTGAAATTCATACTGTACCAGGGAAAATAGTTTCCTCAAATTTCATACTGCTGTCATTATTTTCTTTCTCTTTTTTTGGGGGGGGGTGTTGCTGGGGCATTGAATCTAGGGCCTTGTGCATGCTAGGCAACCACTCTACCATTGAGCTATACCCTCAGCCCATAGATGTTATACATTTAAATTCAGTGCTTTAAAATAAATCTTTAAGGGCCGGGGATTTAGCCGCCTCCTGCCTGGCAAGTGCAAGGCCCTGAGTTCAATCCCCGGTATAAAAAAAAAAAAAAGAATTAAAATAAATCTTTAGCCGGGGATTTAGCTCAGTGGTTTCGCCGCCTGCTACACAAGCGCAAGGACCTGAGTTTGATCCCCGGTACCAAAATAAATACATAAATCTTTATATTTTATAAAATATAAATCATTGTATTTTAATGAGACACGAGAAAGTTGACCCAATCTTTCAGATTCATTCAGTGTGTCCAATACCAGCAGGTTTAAAAATATGGGACTGGTTAGGCATAGTGGCACATACCTGTAGCCCTACCTACTTGGGAGGCTGAGGCAGGAAAATTGCTTGAGTTGAAGACCATCCTGGGCAACAGAGTGAGACCCTATCTCACAAAAAAGTAAGTTTAAAAAAATAAATACAAAAATATATATAAAGTTATGTGAAAACCTCAAGAAGTATCAGCAAATTTCACCTCAGAATTACTTCAAAATTCCAATGGCATTTTCTCCAGATTTCAAGATGTGAAGCACTGAACTCTTTATTTTATCTTGAGAGTTTATATTTAAGATCAATTTAAGAATATATATCTAAATTTTTGAGCATGTAATTTATATAA